TGCTTCGCCTCTGCGCTGCACCCCCCTGCCCCGTGAGACGGGCCGGGACCGGAGCTTCAGCACAACGGTGTGGAGGGCGTGAAATTTCATAAGCGAAGCGGTTTGTGCCGGCGAGTTATTTCTTGCGCTTTCTGTTGGCGTGCGGACTGTGGGTTTTGTGGTGTGCCGGGTGTTTAGAGCCAAAGTCAGCTCGGTGCTCAGGGCGGGTGCTTTTCGGGTTTGATGCTCCCGGGCGAGTACCAAAACCAGACCAGTCGCTTCCTGGCTGCCGAAATCAGGAACTGGCGAGCACTTCGATATTGCCTGGAAAGGGGAAAGCGCCCGGAGCTCGTCCGGCTGCCTTCACAGAAAGGGAGCGCTGTGCTCGGCATCGCTGGCGGGGCATTGCCGCCTGCCGCCGCCTGTAGAGAGCAGAACCGGTCAGGAGGCGAGCTCAGGTATTTACGTTTCTGGCTAACCTTTTTGTCTCCGATAACTCTTCCCCTGCTCTGCAAGGTCAGTTTTCCCTGCGGACTGCGCAAAGGATCTGATAATCCGTAGCCTGGGGGCAACCGTTTGATTTGTGTTGTAAGCACAGGTTGTTGGACTCGCGTACCTTCTTCAGGGCTGGTTAATGTTTCAACTTCTAATTTCTTGCTCGGCAATAAAATAAATGCATGGCAGTAGGTGGTGGGGGTGAGCGTTGCCATGCCGGAGGTATGCGAGGTGCAACAGTAGGCATGTCTACCAAGTTGGTCCAAAAAGTTTTATTTCTGCGGAATAACATAAATGTCGTTATTTGTAAGTGTTTTTACAGCTTTTGCATCTGAGCTCTCACCACAGTTTTTTCCTTCCATGTGGTGTTACCTTGTGCTTTATGATTTCTGGTGTAGATGTACAATCAAGTTATGAACGCGGTGCAAACACAGAAGGAAAAGAAAGTGGTTTAGCTGCCAAGCGGATTTCTCCCCCCTCATATAATTTGTGGTGCAAAAATGTTGTTATATGGAAAATGTTGTTGGATGGCATCTTGCCTTTTGCAGATACAATTAAAATACTTTCTTTTAGGTAAGTTTTTTTTTCCAGGAGAGGGATTAGCTTGCTTATCTTTGAATGGGTAAAAGGTTTTCTATGCCTAGCTGCAAGCCTTCACTTCTCTGTCAGTGCTATTATGTACTCTGTTTAAATGTTGGCAACTAATTTTATTCTTTCAGATTAAGCACTTCGTAAGTAGGCTCACTGCAAATGAGATGTCAGTTAAGGAGCTGTAAAAATGAGGAACTACTTAATAATAAGATAAAAGAAGTGAGCTGTTGAAGTTTGCGTAGTCGTTTAGCAAATCAAAATTAAATCAGCTTTTCAGTTCAGAAATGGGATGGTTGCAGTGTTCTCTGTAGAACAATGGTGTTATCTCCTTGTGGTCCAGGATCCTGACACATTCGTACCCTCCGCCCTCTCACCGGTATAATAATTCAGTCTGAATAAAGAGCTGCTTTTCCAACAGGTAGTGGTGGGCAGCACCATTTGAATTTTAATGATACTGAAATTAGAGCAGGTACCGTCGTGCATTGAAGTGTCACGACGCAAACTGAAACTTTTTCCAAAAAGGGGTTGAGGGTTTCGTGGAGCTGTAGGTAGGAAGAAGGATCCTTCTCTGTGCCCTTACTGGTGATGTTGGGAAGCGTTGGGTAGCTGCCGGTGCCATGAGGATGTGGAAATGGTGACAGATACCGGGATGCTCAGCCTGGCCACCTGGGCCCTGCTCCCTTGCTCACTCGGGGCAGCACCTCGCCAGCTCCTGCCCCATGCCTCTTGGTGGTGGAGCCAGGCCCAGCTCCCAGTCTCCCCCCAGGTCTGATCTCTCGGGAGGGCGAGAGCATATCCACTGGGGATTTTCTTTCACAGTGGAAGCCTCTCAGTGAGGTGAAGCAAGGATGTCCCCCTTCTCCTGTGCTCCTCTGCCCGTTCGGAGTAGAGTAACCTCTGCTCCAGCACCCCTTTTCCTGCAACCCAGGGCCCCGCTGGCTCTCTGGGTCTTTTTTGCCTTTCTGTGCCGAGGGGGGGACTCTTCTGTTCCGAGTGAGGAAGAGGGAACGGAGAACCGGTCCCCGCGGGAAGCACAGCAGGGCTTGGCTGCACCACAGGAGCACTAAGCAGGCTGCAAGGCGAGTAGCACAAAGTAGTTTAAGAACTTTTAAAACTTTGTCTCAAATAAGCCAATTCTAGTCTTTATTTATCTCTATTTTTATTTCATTCACTATTCAGTTCTCTCAAGTATCTGATGTAGAATCCTATCATGTATTCATTGCTTCAGATAAGATGCATTTTACTCCAGAATAAAAAAAGAAAAAGGGTGGTGGTGGGTTGTTTTTTTTTTTCAAGTCAGAGATTAGTATAGCATACACTATTAATAAGCATTTGATAGTTCTGGATTTAACTTGTATGAAAAAGCATAGTGCGTAAGGATTGAAAAAGTAAATTGGAAAGGAATAAACCTAATTAAGATAAAAGCAAAAATGGAAAAATATTTTTCAAATGTTACGTGTGGCATGTCTAAGTAACATGACTAATGAAGCTGTTGAAATGAAGCCCTGAGTAATGCGTGAAAAATTCTGTTTGTCACAGATGGACCAGTCGTCTCCAACCTACATGCTTGCCAACCTAACCCACTTGCATTCTGAGCAGCTTCTGCAAGGCTTGAACCTCCTTCGCCAACATCACGAGCTCTGTGACATTATCCTTAGAGTTGGCGATGTCAAGATCCATGCCCACAAAGTGGTGCTTGCCAGCATCAGCCCTTACTTCAAAGCCATGTTCGCTGGGAACCTTTCTGAGAAGGAAAACTCGGAGGTGGAGTTCCAGTGCATTGATGAGGCAGCCCTGCAGGCCATCGTGGAGTATGCCTACACAGGAACTGTGTTTATCTCACAAGACACCGTAGAGTCGCTTCTTCCAGCTGCGAATCTTCTCCAGATCAAACTGGTCGTGAAGGAATGTTGTGCGTTTCTTGAAAGCCAGCTTGATCCTGGCAATTGCATCGGGATTTCTCGTTTTGCAGAAACCTATGGCTGCCATGACCTCTACTTGGCTGCTAACAAGTACATTTGTCAAAACTTTGAAGATGTTTGTCAGACAGAAGAATTTTTTGAGCTTACGCATTCTGAATTGGATGAAATTGTTTCCAATGACTGCTTGAATGTCGTGACAGAAGAAACTGTTTTTTATGCGCTGGAGTCCTGGATCAAATATGATGTGCAGGAGCGACAGAAGTACTTAGCACAGCTGCTACATTGCGTTCGGTTGCCACTGCTGAGCGTTAAGTTTCTCACGAGGTTATACGAAGCAAACCATCTCATTCGTGATGACCATACTTGTAAACACCTGCTAAATGAGGCCCTAAAATACCACTTTATGCCTGAACACAGACTTTCCCACCAGACCATGTTGATGACACGACCTCGCTGTGCTCCTAAAGTTCTTTGTGCTGTAGGAGGAAAAGCTGGACTGTTCGCGTGTTTGGAAAGGTACGTAATAGTAAAATTGTTGCAGCACTTGCGTGGTGTGGTGTTTGTGCACGTTTGTTATCGCCCTGGGTCAGGATTAAGGCAATCATTGAAGAGCAGTGGTTTGCAGGACTGTAGTTACTGCTTTTCTTCATGAGAACTCTTAAGTAGGTTGGTGTTTTGTTTTGTTTTTTTTTTTGAACAAGGGTGAGCACTGAGTTCAAAAAGCTTTTTGATTTCATGAGTAGTCTTCAGTGTTACAGGGTTTTATTTGTGCTACATGAACAGCTATAAAATCTTATAATTTTAATTCTGTTGATTGAGGATTAAAAAAAGTGGTTCATAAAAGTTCATATGTTACTTCTTTATCCTTTCAGATCTTTTCATTTTACATAATTTTCCCCTCATCTATTATTATTCCAGACATCCAAATCATGAAATTTAACCTAATATATGACAAATATGCTTCCTGATAACTCAAAAGTCCTTGAAATTAAAATAGACTTAATCAGAGAAGAGTCAAGAGGTAATTCTGAGCAATGTCATGGTCTTGATCATAATGTAGTCATGGCTGTAATCTCTGCTGCGGAGTAGGTATCCATATCTGTGCTGGCAGAAACAGGTAAGTGCCCATCTTTCTTCACCCAGTTTTCAAAATGAACCTCCTCTCCAGTTACTGAGTACATCAGTGAGGCTAACTGTGTGAGCAAAAGGAATGTAACAGAGAGAAAAATAGCTTTCTTCCCCATACTGGTATGGTTGGGTTTACTTTGTATTACGTTGTATTGCCATTTCCAGAAATGGTAGTTAAACTGTGTGTGGGTCTGCATATACGTGCATACTTATACATAGACGTATAGTGCTTTGGTGCTGAATGTACCTTTATCGGCTCAGTAAATGTTTCCTGTGTTAAGACAGACTACCCGAACTGGTTTACAGCTGAATTCTGGGATAATGTTTTACTCTTAGGTATTCTTTTCTGTAACTGTTCCATGCTTGCATATATATACATACACTTAAAACCCTGGGAAGATCTGCATGTTCTTTTTCCCTGTGTTTAGAGATGTTGTCAAAGTTATTTAAAGTTAACTTTCCCGATAACAGGGATTGACAGTAAACTAGATGTTGGGACTGGGAATTTTTGGGTTTATAGATTTAAAAAATAAAGGGGGTTTTGTGCTTAATAAAAAAATCTGTTTGTTTGAGTAAAGAAAGTCGTCCTTGATATTACTGAGCTCTGTTTCTTTCACAGCTTCTTCAATGTTCATAATGATATTACATACCAAAACAGTTTGGATTATTTTGATTTTGGGTTTTTTTTTTTTAATAGAAATGCTCTTTCCTACTATTAACCCCATTCTGATGCATACAAAAATTTGCTCTTCCTTAATTTATTCTTCATATTAGTCTTTCCTAAACTGTTATTTCAGTTTATACTTAAGTTTGAACAATTGCTCCTGACGTACAAAAAAAAAAAGTCACAGATCAATTAAACAAATAATTCCTAACACAGTTAAAACTGTGAAGTAGGAAACCTTAATTCCACTATTTTTGTTCTACTTTTCATTGATACTTACAGGAAGGCTGGTTTTTCACTTACAGTTAGCCACTGCTTCATAATAACAAAATTACTTGGAGTATATTTAGTACTGTGCTTTTCTAACTGGGCTGTTGCTGTCAGGAGCCAGTCTGAGTTTCAGCAGTCCCTGCTTCTGGGTTCTTAGTCAGTGGCTATCACCTCTCCAGTAGCTTAGTTTCCTTGTCTGTTTTTGGAACAGATCGTATTTCCTGTGTACTAGATACTCTTTTTTTTAAATCATTTAAGTAATTTATTAACTAAACTATTTAGGTAGATTGACTAGGCTTCATACGTGGTAGGCTAGACCCTCATGTTTTAACACTGAGTATAGCTAAAAGAAAATGCAAATAAGCAGTATTTTGAAAACAGATTTTTCAAATTGGTTTGTTCTACTTTGACATCGTTTAAATTATACAGTACATGTAAAATATGTATTTATAAAACTACAAATTGTACTCTCTAAATGTATGTTTGTACATACATACAGACATGTGCTTCCCCCTCTCTAATTCTCCTTTTCTCTCTCTCCCATCTCTGTGGCTGTTCTGACTTTTTTTTTTTTCCTCCAGTTTACCCTTCTTATCCCTTTGCTTCGTATTTGTAGCTTACCGCAATCACAGCCTACCTCCAAAAGCTGCTGTGGCTTCAGCACTGTATTGTCTTCCCTTGCGTTATCCACGATGCTGTCCTGCCTTCCCCGTAGTCTACCTGGTTTGTACTTTCAAAATTCATCATTTCAGGTCTTGGACTTGGTGCCGTAGCTGCTTGCTGTGTTGCTTCATTGCACTGTATGCTGTGAGGCCCTGGGTTTTTAACTCTTTAGAACGGTAAACAACATTTGATTTTAGCTTATGTTTGGGCTCTTGAAAGAAACAGCAAACATAGGATTGGACATATGAAATAATCTTAAGACTGTGTTCCTTTGTGCTTATTTGCACTTCACAGATCTTCTGAAAATGAGGTTTGCTCACGTAATCTTTGTTTTTCTCTTTCAGTGTTGAAATGTATTTTCCCCAGAATGACTCCTGGATAGGCCTGGCACCTCTTAGCATTCCCCGCTATGAATTTGGAATATGTGTCCTAGACCAGAAAATATATGTTGTAGGAGGGATTGCAACCCACGTGTGTCAAGGCATCAGTTACCGAAAGCATGAGAATTCAGTGGAGTGCTGGGACCCCGATACAAACACTTGGACGTCTCTTGAGAGGATGTTTGAGAGCCGGAGTACTCTGGGAGTGGTAGTTCTGGCAGGAGAGCTCTACGCCTTAGGTGGTTATGATGGGCAGTCTTATTTACGCACTGTAGAGAAGTACATTCCTAAAGTGAAGGAATGGCAGCTAGTGGCCCCGATGAACAAAACAAGAAGTTGTTTCGCTGCAGCTGTCTTGGATGGAATGATATATGCCATTGGTGGTTATGGTCCTGCCCATATGAACAGGTATGTGCTTTTGATGTCTGTAGCTCGATGTCATAAGCTGGAAATCAGCAAAACTCACTGCTAAGCTTGTGTTCAGCAGCCAATTAAAAATTATTCTAAGATAGATTGGTAATCCACGGCAGGCCTCATTAATCCTGGTTTGGCAGTATCAGTCTGATAATTCAACTGGGAAATCTTTGTTTTATCTTTACGTCTTCCAACTCAGAGCTGGTTTGTTTGGGGTTGGTTGGTTTGTTTTTAAATCCTTAAGAAGGGAAAATGGAAGAGACAAAGACACATGCGCATATTACTAAGCAAGGTGGTACAAAACACCTGACCTTATAGACGCTCAAGCTAGGTAACTCAGCAGATCAGTGTTGTGTGGGCTTATTTACTGAGGCCCCAAGGTAGCGTCCTTGTGCCTGTGTCACAGTGCTGCACCGTGGTTACTCAGCTTTCGCGAGAGGCTTGCTTAGCACTGTGCCGGTGCTATGTAAATCCTTGTACCTCAAGCCTCTGAAATATTAGGATGTGTGGTTAGCTTTAACATTGAAAACACTGATTTGAGAGGAATAGGATTTTTCACATGCTTAATATATGCAAAATAAATATGTACCTCAGATGGAATCTTAAAGTAGTCTTACTGATGATAACAACAACAATAATAATAATAATGATGATAGTTCCTGGTCTGGCTCCTGGGTAGAAGTGGGCTTGCTTCAGACCTTACATTCACAAGGAGGTTTCCTGGTACCAGCATGCTCTTTAGTTGTTCTGTTCCACGTCATGCTCTATGGACAGGGTGGACAGGGGCATGTAGTTATGCAAAGAAATAATTTGTACTCTCTTTTCTTCATTAAAATGGGAACAAATCAGCCATATGTCCCTCCAGGAAGCAAATTAATAAACTGCAAGTCTAAATAGCTGAATAAAGAATGAAAATTAAAACCTTGCTCATAGGAAGGGATACATTGATTGTTTAACAGTGTAGTATAACAACATTGCACTAGTTTTTATACTTGAGATGTTTTTATATAAAACAGTTTGTGAAACAAAGGATTCATTTCCAAATAGGAAAGTATTGCTAAGTAGTTTTCATTTGGAAAATGGAAACAATTTTAAACTACTGAAATACAGAATGGCTAAACTGTTTAGTACGGCTGTGACAGGATTTTATGAAACTTAATGTGACATTTTTCTAACATATTTTAAATTATGAGCTGTAATAGCAGTTGAAATACTTAATAGATCAGCAAACCATGTCTAAAAGTTTTCTATCGACTCTAGGGTTTCTTCACATGGGAATTTGACCCAGAATAATTAAGCTGTGCTGTTGTCCTGTGTGCTCACCCTTAGCTCCGTACTGACTTTGGTGCCATACAGAACTATTGGCTTCGGTAGTAGCTTAAGGTGAAGTCAGTAGGAGAGTAGAGCAGGCATATCAGGAGTTACTGTGGGGCCTCTGGGATGCTCACACCACTGCAGCCTTGTTGCACAGACCATAAAAAAAGGAAGATAATCAAGCCCTTGCTCTTGCCAGAATTGGTTCCCAAAAGTTGAATGCTTAGTGCGCACACAGGCCTTTGCAAGGTAAACTCGGTAACATCCTTTCAGGAAGTGTCTTTATCAAGCTGGTACCTTTAAAGGGAAAGCTCTTAACAGTGTTAAAATTCTGCAGTAGCCTTACTCCTTGTACCACATCTTCTCTCTTCCTCAGTCAGAAAGAAATTGCCAGCAGCTCCTGTAGAGTTACTGGAATTTGATATTTCGTTATTTGCCTTTTTAATTTACTTCTTAGTGAATAATTTCGGTTTTATTAATTATTCAAGGGCACGAGTAATATGCCATGCCATACAGTCACTAGACTCATACAAGTTTGAGCATTAAAAGTAAGCTGACTGCTGTGTAATTAAGCACCTTTTCTCCAACTGATTTTCTCTTCCCCTCTTTTCTGCCCCCTCGTGCTACTGAAGCTACACTCTGCACAGGGAATGGCTGTGTGCCATGAGTGTGTTAATGACTCTGACCATCTGTACAGCTGCAGTGATTAAAAGTTATAATAATGATGATGATGATGATTCATCTCCATTTTATCCTGAAGGCCTCTTCTATCCTTAGTGTTTTGATCAGCAACCTCTTTACTGCTTTTCCTGGGGGATATGTTCTCCACATTTTTTTTCCTCTCTGTCTGTTACTTTCAGGCAAGCCTCAAGGAAGTTTTTGATTTGATGTGTTACCCAAATAGATATGCTTCAAATATGCATGGTGTTCAGGTTTTCCTGAGTTGCTGTTTTTATAAATAGCAGCAGTCATCCTTGAAAGAACCTTCAGTTTTGAGGCCAGCTTTGAAAAATCTTGCTTTGTTTCAACATGTAACCTGAAGATCCAGGATAGTGGCATGAGGACATCAGAGAAGTGGCTGAACACCACGTTGGGTGTCCGATGAAAAA